CTACAACCCATATTCCCATCTGGGAACCTCTTTAATGCTGGCAGTGTTAGTAACTCGGAGCATCTCCTTGATTGAATAAGAGTTGTTATACATAGTCCATGTGTTACCACCCTGGAGCATCACCACCTTGAGTGAATCCAACCGCGCGATAGCATTGATGAGACACATAGAAAAGCCAATGGATTTTGAAAAATTCAACTTGAGGTTGGTCAAATTCGTGCCACATGAAGATATGACAGCCGCCGCTTCATGCCTTGACATTGAAGAATAATCTGAGTGAAATTGATCGAACTTTGAAAAATAGCCCCCACCAAATACGGAGTTTGAAAGCAAGGAGTTGATTACTCCATCAGGCAGAAACAAAATTTGACCTAAACAAAGTCAATGTAAACAACAAGTGCTTGCAAAAGTGATTGGCATACTCCATGACCTCAAAAAACACTTCACCATGTTACGACTATCTAAGCACAATGTATCATACAGATAAGCACTGATACCCAGGGCCCAGGATTTCCCAATCAAACAAAGATTAATAATATCTAACACTGAAGTATGTTCTAAAACTGGTCGGCCGGCGCTATTCAAAAGATCACCAGCCGTTCAAACACAATCCTTGACTAAGTGAGATATAATCAAATCCACAATTTCAACTGGTAGAGAAACACGACGCGGCAAAGCCCTCAAAGACAATGGTTTGTCAGGTAACATCGCAAGTTCTTTACTAAAGCGGTGAGATGGATCTGGATCAACTTAAGTATAACAGCAAGTAACAAGAAAATATCATAGACGTGACCACAAACCTGGCCTGAGACACAACAAAGATGCTGTGATTGGATGACCCAAATTTCACCAAGGAGACACATTGTATGTGCGCTGCCAAAACTCAATTGGAAATTATACTGAATGGGGCGCAAGGTACACATGATGTGCACTGTATGTTGAAATCAAAATGTACTAAGTCGCCTTAAGTGTTGGACAAGAAATGAGGTTCCTGTGCACAGGTCAATATCACAGTAGTGACAATCATGCAGTGGGATTTGAATTGTTGAAGAGGGGTGCCGGAAGAACACGGGGTGCCGGATCACAATCTGAATCTAACAACTTTCCTGGGTACACCCTGAAAAGTCAGGGCGTGTGTGACGGGTAAGTGTATGCCCCTAGATTTTGAAGATTGGACCATACAATGGGGTTCAGTGAGGATGAAAAAATTTGAACCAATGGCAAACACTCAAATGAAATACCAATACTGGACCAACGTGGCGGAACGTATCAGGATGTTGTTTCACATTTACGGTACTCAAAGCAAGTATGTACACGTACATACTTTTTTTTGGTGGGGAAAACAAGACCAAAAGTATATTTTTGTTTTTTTCCCTGCCAAAAAAAAGTATGTAGCGCAAAGTATGTACACCTACATACTTGCTTTGAGTACCGTAATTGTTTGAGTTTGCCGACAATGTGCGCTGTCGTGCGTTTGTGAGTTTATTGCAAACAGTGGGATGGGTGGATTTTATTGTATGTTTATGGGACAGGTTTCTGACTCCAGTCCAAAACTTGTTTGGCTGCGTAAGTGGAGACTTTGGTGTATTTTTTTGAGTTTTGTAAGCGGCGTAATAACCTCAAGAGATTCAAGTCACCCAAGGCTTTATCTCTATCAAACCTTCAAGCACAAACTTCTGAACATCCACGCCTGTTTCTCTTCCGGCTAGAGAAGTTTGCTCATTCTTGTAGTCAGTTCATCTTCTACAATCCATCTTCTTTGTTTCCTGTCAATTCCACACAATTTGAACAACAATCAATCTCTTGTACTCATATCTTCGCCTTTGCCTCCTCTCCTCCAAGGATCTCAAGTCCTCAACCCCTGATTAGCGAAGAACAGAATGAAGTCCTCTGCGCTACTTTCTGTATTTCTCTTCGGAATCATCTCACAAACCTCAGCAGCAATCATGAGAGTAGCCGAACCGGGTGCAAATTTCAAAGTCGCCTTTCAAGCTGCTTCAGGTCACCATCCTACTCCAATTAATTGGCCAAGCTCATTGACTGAGATGCACAAAAGTATAGAAGAAGGCCAAAACCTTGCATTAAATTTACAGCCACCATTAGAACCTTCCACTACACAAAATATAATATTTTCTAGGCAGAAAATTAAATTATTGATACACAAAAATATTGTGAGGCCAGGAGAAGGGCAAAAAATAAATAAAAACATGCATCTTGTTCCCTGCGGTGAGAGCTTCACTCTCCATATTTTTCCATATTTTTACAGTCTGTATTGATAAGTGTACTAACAATAAACCTTCATAATCATCCAATTACAACCTGTAACAAGCACTGAAATTTGGCTCATTAGTGTTTAGAGAAACTTTTGATACCTGAAAACACCTATAACTTTGTCAAATCTGCATCAAAACACTCGATTTTAAGTGCATTAGAAAGCTGAACTCTTCCCCTCGAACTTTCATAAGATTAAGAACTATGTAGCTAGTATGACAATCATTCTATGGATCTGTATGTACAAATGTATAAAAAAGAGTGATATCTTTTTTAGCAGACCAGCATGCTGTGTGGTCCTCTTATGAACTATGTGGAGGACAATTCCAGCTTACCAATGCACCCAAAATCGAGCGTTTTGGACCGGAATTGAAAAAGTTATGAGTATTTTCAGAAATCAAAAGTGTCTCTAAACACTAATGAGCCAAATTTCAGTGCTTGTTACAGGTTGTAATTGGATGATTGTGAAGGTTTATTGTTAGTACACTTATCAATATGGACTGTAAAAATACGGAAAAATATGGAGAGTGAAGCTCTCACCGCAGGGAACAAGATGCATATTTTTATTTATTTGTTGCCCTTCTCCTGGCCTCTCAATATTTTTGTGTATCAATAATTTAATTTTCTGCCCAGAAAACATTATATTTCTTGTAGTGTTCTCTACCAGAGAGATACAAAAATCCATTTATGGGTTCGGAAGAATCGTCAAGGACATCTCCAGGTCCGCATGGTCGTCATCTCGATGTAGAATCTGGAAAATACAAGATGATATCGGCTCATGCACAAATCTCGATGGGCGGAGGTGGTCATGGAGGTGGTCATGGAGGTGGTCATGGTGGTGGTCATGGTGGTCATGGTAGTGAAGGTGGTAGTGGAAGTGGGATAGCTCGCGGGATAGCTTCAGGAGGTGGTGGTCAGGGTCAGGAAAAAGGTAAGCATAAAAGTGGCAATGCAGTGTCGAATGCGACCTTCTCTGTGATGTGGACTTGGATATCCCTCACTGGGAATCTTGCTCTTTTGAGGCGTTTGTTCAATCTTGCCAGATATTGATTGGGAATCGGGGTACATGTTGAAAGGGACATATTCAAATTGTGATAGGTTCCTGTAAAAGATGCAGATCAATCAATAAAATACAATCAGGATATCATATCCATTCATACCTCGTATCGTCAATCATAACCTCAAGTTACCCTTCCTTCTTTTTAGATGGCAGCACCATCTCGAACTACCTATGTATGTCCAACTCTAAACTTGAAAAAGTCCGACTCCTGGATTAAGAAATTGTATCTCAGAATATATGCAAGGCGGTATCCGCTCTCTGCAAGGCTGCGAGTTTGGATTTTGCGTTTGCTGAGTTTGCTGATCGTCGGAAAGAAAATCATCAAGGTAGAGTCAGAGTTGCATGACTTGTTTGATTTCAATTACCTAGCCAAAGAAGGGCTTCCAAACTTGTCAAATCAGTTTCACCTTTGAGCATTTGTCATCAGATTGCATGGTATTTCACTCATGATCAGGACTCTCTAATTCACCAAGAGATCATCAGTCTCCCTTCCGCCAACAGTCTTCAGCCGTGATGCCCAATGCACCTACACCAAGAAGGAATCAAAATGAGAACTAGACATGCTCCCCCTCCCCATCCACCGTGTCCTACCGTGTTTAAAGAAGCCGAGGAGGAGGTCCAAGAGGAAAAAGTCTTCGTCATGAGGAAATTGTTGTCCGTGAGCTAAGAGGGTCATTGACCAATTGGCCGGTTGGTTAAATGACGCGCTTTGAAATTGAGGTACACAAGCTCATGATCAAGTTCATTGTTTGTAAATTCGTCAATTCCTTTTCCTGAAATGTTTATCTGTTCGAAATAAATGGAGAGCGATCTCTGTGTTGTCATGGTGGTAATTTTTTTTTGATGATGAAATTCCATTGTGAGTGCGGCTGATGGGAATGTTAATGAGGAATGTGGATATTCATTGGCTGTGGTGGCTTGAAGGGATATGATATTTTGATATCATGGCGGTCATATATGTTTTTTTTTGTTGATGTGGATGAAGTCGTAAGTAAAAGTGTTGCAGAAGAGTGAAGTGAAGAGGGTTTGAAATTGATAAGGATCAAACCCTTGACTAATAGGCAGTTTATAAAGACAGAAAGAAACCTAACACAGCTAAGAGTTAGAAAACACAGCGCAGCACGAGAATAACAAATAGAACACATGTAGACATATCAAATAGGATCACGCATCACAACAGAAAAAACAAAATCAAATGAGAGGAAAAACGAACATTATTCTTGTCATACCAACAAGGAGGTTGTGTGAGAGGAAGCAAGACACAACTAAAATGACATGCTATGGTAAATCCCAAATCATTTCATTTTGTGACTTGTCTTCTGTTTTTTACACCAGGTAGGTCTTTACATTGTTAAGGTTTTGACCTGGTGTTTGGGGGAGGTGAAGGCCGCGGACTGCCTGTCAGAGAAGGTGATTGTGGGTGGGGGCGGGCGGGAGGCGCTGCGAACCAAATTTGTTATCCCTGCCCTTATCTTCATGGTTTCCTTACCCTTATGTTTTCTATTTATTTATTCCTTGAACCTAAAGGATCAGGTTTTTGTGTTATGTTGCTGCCTGTCCTAGGCTTGTCCTCTGTGGACTATCTTGCTTATTATGGGGTGGGCGGGACAGGTTTTGAAAAATGATTTTTCTTCTCTTTTGAGGATGTTAGCTCAAATATCTTGAGAGTTGTGAATTTGAACTTTTGAGGTGTTCAGTCTGGAGAGGCGTACAGATACTGTGAAATTCACATTTTGTTCTCTTTTGGTGGGCGGGGCCGTCTTTGCAACACCACATCTCTGGTCCCGATGGAACTCGCAGATGATGTTGTTCCTTTGGCCACGAGTGCCAATGGTAGAGTTGTTTTGAAAAGATGTGGATACAAAAGATCTGTCTTTGTGAGCTCAATCAGGTTCTTGGTCCTCTTCTTTGGCTGCTTTCATCCGATTCAAAATCTGGGTTGCTTTCTATTATTGGCTTCAGTGTCATCCATGTGCAAACCCCGTATTGTTATCTTTCAGAAGGTTCATCATGAACATAGATGTATAATTTTTCTGCTTTTTGCCTTTCGGTTCGCGACTATTTCTTCGTCAAGATGACTCAAACTGCTCATTTCTCCCTGGAACAAGATTTATAGTCTTGATTGTGCTGTTCGTATAACAATTTCCACATAGCTTCAAATCCGAGTGGCTCAACTGTTTCTACGGCATCTATGAAGTATGTTTGTATGTCTCTTTTGGACGAAACTAAATAGAATATTTCATTTCGACCGAGTACAGTTTCTTTCCGGGTCGGCAGAAAAGTGACACATGAGAACAAAGATCATAGAGAATAAAGTACAATTGGAAGTCATATCTAGTCACCAAGCCGCGCTCCTACAATTGTTTTTAAAGTGAGCAGAGTGGTTTGATAATCAGATACAAGTTTATTGACATGCAAGTACGAAGATGAAGTGAGATAGGTTGGAAAATTTGGGCTTGATTGACACGGGTGGTTGAACAAATGTGTTTCGCGTGAAACTTTTGAAAAACAACGAGCGCACATGCTGCCCATATCGAGGCGATAAGATTTGGTTCAACGAGGGCCTGAAACTAAGATCCTATCTCAGGTACGAAAAGCCCACATTACTCGCTGTGATATTACGAGTGCACCAAAAGAGATTTTATAAGATTGGTTAGATGAGATGCTAAATTGATATCTATTGACGTAAAATCATTGATCAGTGTTTCAAAATGAACTGACGTGTGATTGGCCGTGTAATTCGCTGGCGTGACGTTGCAAGGTGGTGGGAGCCCAGTATCACCGCATTTCACTGGCGCGGTCTGGTGGGGTCTAGGGAAGCTGAATGTGTCGGAGGAGCTGAAAAGATTGGTGTCAAACAAAAATTAATCGAGAGGAACTATGACAAGAAATTTCGAGGTCAAGAGTCACTAACCTCAATAAATCAGTCGTAGCTCGCGCTACTATGGGGCTATCGGTGGATTTGGCAAGTGGACATATGTGATTTTTACAAGGTGGTGGTGGTTGTCCTTCAATTATGTATCGAGGCTCAATGGTGTCGTGAGTATGATGAGGACTGTTGAGGAGGAAGGGACATTAGCTTTGATGGTAAGGCCAGTGACGGGGATCAATTGAAAAAATGCAGATGACTTACATTGCCACGGTAAGAACAAGTGAAGCACTGCAAAGCAAAATGCTCACTGAGATGTCATGAAATCGCAGTGTCGTCAGGATCAATAATATTTGAGTACGAAACACAATTTGTTTAGTGGATTGGACATACGGAAGTACAGCACGTTCAACATTATCGAATTTGTTGAAGATTGATGGGCGAGAATGGAGATCTCAAGGTAATGAATGGAATTGAAGGTTGTAGTTAGTTTTGAAAGTCGGTAGATGATCAGGAAACTCGTCGTAGCTGGTGAAAGATGTTATCTTATAAAGTGAAGCCTACCTCAGCCTACTGTGGTCTGGGCTGCCTCAGACTGACTTTTGTATATCAGTCTCATTGAAATTGGGCTGTGTGATTATTTAATCAGCCTCCTCACAGGACTGAGTTTACATTCATTTGGCAACCAAGATCGTATGGGTCTGTTGCAATCAATTCAGTTCACGACTGCGTTCGCATATCCGGATCAGCTCTGCCAATCTAGAATGCGATTGAGGTCTGAGAATGAAACATCACATCTGCACCTGCACTGTGCAAGTGGGGCCCTCATTGCACACGGGGTTATATGCCCTCATCCATCGTCTCACAAGTTCTCGGTGATGATCTTACAGAAGAATCCATCTGGGAATTGCCTTGATCGCACAGCTATTCATGATGAGATAGAAGTTGAAGAGTAAATTCATACCAGGTGATCTGGGCGCCGGGAACTGAAGGGCTCTGCTTTGGCGATGATTGGCACTATACTTTGCTTCCAACCAATCAGCACAGGCTCCACGGCTTGAGCCTTTGAGAAAGAAAGCATTGGCTTGTATTTCATCGATAGGCAAGTGTGAAGAGACATGACAAGTCGATGAATCCGACACAGCTCCTCCTCACATGACTTCCAAATCTTTGAATCTTCCAGGTGGAAATCCGACGCAGCGCTTATTCCATACCCGTTACGTCCAAGCATGGAGGCTTTATAATCATGCTCCTCTTCAACACCCCACACTCAGATTTCTCATGGTGAACAAGAAGGCTGTGAATGCCTTGCATGGCCATGGGGATCTTGCATCATGGCGAGTTGGTCGACTTGGGACTTGATAATCAGTGCATCTCAAGCTGAAATTTTACAAATCGTGGTAGACTCTGTTGTAAGTGTTCCCAAGGATCTTGTTCTTGATGCGTTCTTTATGTGGACATTTTATTTTGCGCTTTTTAACCTCAGCAACATCAACTTTTTCTGAAAGCCTTCGGGTCCCGGGCCTTGGCCTCAGAGCCAGTAGTCAGGACGGCCCTTAAATTGCGAGTGTATAAAATACATACGCTACCGGCTTACGGTTAATGAGTTTGCCGAACTGGTCATCATACTGGTTCGTGGGAAAGCACAACGAGAACATGCTGTCAAGATAATCTGATCAAAACCATTCCCTTCAAGTTCACCTCAAAAAAAAAGTCAATCTTCACCTACAACTGCGTAAACTCCCGACGGATCAAAAACCATCAAAGTGTTTGAAAAATGGGAAAAGAAGGTCTAACACCATTTGGAAATGCATTAGCAGGAGCCATCGGAGGAGTCATATCAAATGCAGTAGTTTATCCATTAGATACAGTCAAAACTAAAATTCAAGCCGATTCAACAGATTCAGAAACAAATAAAGATTCGATTCCATCACCTGTACTTAAACGACAAAACGCACCAAATCGTTTAACGATACCTAAACTAAGTGTTCGTGAAGTGATTATGGAGATTTTTAATCATCAAGGAATCAGTGGATTTTATCGTGGGTTTTTAGCTAGTATGTTAAATACTTTTTCAATGCAATTGTAAGATCCCTTTTTTTCTTTGGGATTGATGAATAGATTCGATTTTCTTATTACTGATTTGTTTTTAACTTTTGGTTGGGTTGGGTTTGTATAAACGAAAAGTGCTTACTTTTATTGGTACACAGTTGTAAGAAAGACTTATGCTGCATCAGTATTTCCTATACAAAAAGGCAAAGATCGAACACAAAAAGAGCACTTGAGTATCGCGTTCGTGAATTTCCCACAACTTATTTTTCATTTCATCTTAAAGTTTCAAAACCTTGACTTGATTTTTGGATTTGTTTATGATCACTTCAGGACTGAATTAGGTCTGGGTGCTATATCAGGTGCAATTGCTCAAATCTTTACGATTCCTGTGTCTGTTGTGGCTACTCGTCAACAACTTGAAACATCCAAAACCGAATCCAAGTCATTAATCAAGACGGCTAGCGAAATCATTCAAGATGATGGAATCACTGGTCTATGGCGAGGTTTAAGACCTTCATTAGTCCTCACAGTGAATCCAGCCATCACATATGGAATGTTTGAACGTTTGAAAGTCTTCTTTCTTGGTGTGGATGGCAAGATGACACCTGGAAAAGCTTTCTTGATTGGTGCTTTGAGTAAAACGATGGCGACTGTGGTTACTTACCCATATATTATGGCAAAGGTTCGACTTCAAGCCAAGTATGATGATGACAGTAATGATGAAGTAAACCAAATAGCCGAGAAGGGTGAAAGTCAATCAAATTCAAATGTCAAACGTAATAAGAAAAAAGAACGCTATAGCGGTGCATTAGATGTGCTGAGGAAGGTGGCAGCCGAGAAAGGTCTTGCTGGATGGTATCAGGTTTGTTAAATGGCTTCTAAACTTTTGCTGTACAAAAAGAACGACGTAGAAGCTGACGTACCGTGCTGTTTTGTGATATCATTCCTTAGGGTATGCAAGCTCAAATCACCAAGGCGGTCTTATCTCAAGCTTTACTTTTTGGAATCAAAGACTTATTAGAAGATTACACTGTCTTAATCCTAATTCTATTTTCTAAGTGGAAGAAGACTGTAGTTTGAAATTTCAGTTTGGCAATGGGAGCTGAAGTGTTTTTTTTGGGGGGCGTGTGTCTTGTTCCATATATATATTAGAATGATATTTATAAATGTTTTTTGTACTTTTACCCATGCTGGTCCAAAATCATGGCAGGTATAGCAAGTCTTATAGCAATTGTTACAATACAAAATAGATAGATATTTGATCATTGCCCCAATCTGGCATCTGCAAACTTGGCAGTATGACCAGAGATTACCATTGATGTTTCTCAAGTGCAGTGACAAGAATCATGTTAATTTGTGTCTGAAGTCGCCCAAGAGGTTTACCGGAGAGAATTATACTTGAACACACGCATCTGTTTGACCTCACACCAACTTCATCATAGACAAGATCTCATTCATGAGAAACTTGAAGAAATTCTTTTGGTCAGAAGTGAAGTTTTATAGATTATTATCCAAATCAAATGAGTCCATAATTCAAGAATTAAAAGTTACAATCAATAAAAATCAGAAATATTAAATTCAATCTGGTTAATGAGTATAACATTTTCTAAAAATAAAAAACCAAAAACTACAAGAAAATCGAAATCAATTAAGTCGAAGATACCATACAATTGGTATTGTAATCTACAACTTCAAGATACACAATTCAAAAATCGAAAGATGACTTCAAAGAAAAGTCCATTATAGACCAGCCTAAAAGAGCTGATGATTTGTAAGAAACTTATGTGGTGGTACCAAGTTTCATAGCCAACATCACACTCTCAACAGGTGTCATGATCTTATACATAGCCAAATGTCCGTCCACAAAACCTTGAGTAAGTGTCTTATCAATTTCTTGAACTTCAAGTTCTTTTCGCTACAATTGGAAGAACAAAAGATGAGTAATTTTTTCATCAAAATATCAAAGGGGGGGATATATCATTACCGAGCTCAGACTCACCATGGCAAACTGCACACCACGACAGACGGCTGCAAACAGATCCTTGAAATCTGCATGACCTTTATCAATTCCTCGAGAACTTAATGAGGCCAAAGCAAGTTTCCGTATGAGCTGATCAATTCAGTCCGAACAGTGTATCAGTACAAATCTTTGAAGAATTGATTGATGTACCATAATAATCACAAGGACTCACCGCTTTGTTTGCTGTGAGATGTCCGGTCGCCTTTTTTGATGAATTCATTTCTACTTCTGGAACAGTGGGCAATAAGTTTACCCTTAGTGAGCTGTTTGACTTTGTGATCGAACGAGCTGAGTCATTCGAAGTTTCCCTCTTTGACACCAGAGGTGGGCGAGTCTGAGTTCGTTCTTTTTGTGAGTGTGATGTTTCACAGGGTGATGCTACATTTTGTTTGGTAGGAGGGAATTGTCGTGTAGTCTTACAGACAGTAGGTGAAGGTGATGGGGATCGCTCCATTGAGAAATCATTCTCGTCTTGAACTCCCTCTTCTTGATCATGAAGCGGGCGTAAGTCGGGTAAGGTGTACTTTTCAGATTGAGGTAGTGATCTACTTTTTTTCCGTTTCGCGCTGAGTGAATCGGGTTCTTCGAGCCCACGTTTTTCTCGGACATTTTGATTTCTCGAAGTGAGCATCATACTTTCGTCAGGCATATGTGAGCCTACGGAAGGCTGTCCAGGTTTGAGATTTGAATCCAATCTACGGCCTGGCGTATTAGAAGGTCGTTTGACTAGTTTAGCACCACGCTTCACTGAGGATTTGGGATCATCTACAAGGGTGGTAGACTTGAAGAGGTTTCGGCCTGGTTTACTTTCGAAATTGGGCCGAGAGACCTCTTGAGGCCGGGACTTGAATTGCGAGAGAGAGCTCGGTGGGATTGGATCCGCGAAAGAGACCGATAGGGTGGCTGAAGGTTTCAGCTTTTCGATAAAGCTCGTTGTCGCTGCTGATGCCAAACAATCGACAGACAATATGAGCAAGAGGGTGCAGGTGATTTGAATGGTGACAAAAAAGTGAAGATCTATTGACTTACACCGCGGCATGGGATCATCGGGCCGAGGGATTTGAGAGGTTGGTGTGATTATGCGTTGTCCGATGACAAGCTGGAGAGGGATCGAATGATCGGTAGCTTGAGAATGTGAAGGATCTGAGGTAGCCTGACCAAAGATGAGAAGCTGGGAAGGTTGCTTGTCTGAAAGAACCAGGGAGACATAGAGTCAACTGGGTTGTAAGATATAGGCACATGGCTTGAGAAATCTGACATACCGTCTGATGAGTGATCGAGTGTGACAATAAGCGCGTCGCGTGTCCAACCCACTTCCATCAGATCCCTCTTACATATATGAGACATGATCCAATCACGCGTTTGACCACACCGAGGGTCAATATAGAGTTTAACATCCGAATCACATTCTACATCGGAGATTGCAACATCTTGTACTAAATCATCAGCAGCAGCTGGCGCCTTTCCTTTCAATAAGCTTGCTAATCTTGCTTTCCTCCCTCCTTTCTTCAAGGCTTGTTCAGATCTTATCTGTTCTCGGTATACATCATCGGGTATAAGTTTAGCAAGACCTTGAGATTGTAGATCGCACCCGCGCAACATTTCGAGTTCTAGAGATGTGTCACTTAGCCGCCGGGAGGGCTGGTCAGGATTGAAGGGATCAATTTGTAAGTTTGAGTTTTTGTTTACATCGATCGAGTGTGCTACTATTGCGAGGCCTAAAAGATAAAGTGATCAAAATGTCAGAAATCACTGATATTCAAGTCTGATCTAAGCTGTTTACCATGTAATCTTAATCCTGTGTGAGTGACAATTGATCCTCTCCATAAAAGCCGAGTGTTGATATTAGATTGTAGTTCTGGTTCGTTTTGAGATGATGGTAAAGCTGATAAGAGGGTTGCCATTGGAATGATAATAATGAAAAGTTAAGTTGACTTTAAAGGATTGTTGAACAATTAGATTGAGTGAGGGACAAGGACAAGGAGAGGGTCATGAAGGTAAAGTGAAGTCATTGGCTGATCAAGAAAGTTGTATTGTAGATTGTATGCTGAGTGTGTGAAAGGTGTTACATGAGCTGTCATCTTACTGACATTGTGTGTGAAAACCATCCTGACTTATTTTTCTGCAAAATCTTGGAAATCGACTTCATTCAATTCTCACTCAACAAACGTCATGACCATCAAATCACATCCTGGATCATCATCCAAGTCATTAACTTCTTCAATTCAATCTCAAGACCTTCTTACAAAATCTCTAGGATCAAATAAAACTAAAAGTCTTCTTCGTCAAGCTACTCGTCTTTTGAAAAAAGATGGATTAAGTGAAGAACTTAGAAAGTCAACCGAGCAACAAATCGAAACACTAAAAGCTACTTTGGAAAACAAACCAAGTAAAGAGCAAGAAAAATCTAATGCGATCAGATACCATCGAATCAAATTCTTTGGTGAGATACTTTTTGAACATTCGATAAGTCTTCTCTGTCAGTTTGAGTTCTGTCTGGAATTAACATCTTTTCATAATTTCGTGGTTATTTGGATAAAAGACCGCAAAAAAGTTCATCGTAAACTTGATCAGGTGATCCGTAAATTGGACAAAATGTCAGATTCTTATACAGATGATAAAAAGCTTGCTCGCACGCATAAAAAATTAACTCGTGAGGCTGAACGTCTACGAATCGATCTGAATTACGTTAATGTGAGCTTGGAAGAAATGTGGATTGATTTACAGTTGTCTTGATCTCAAACTGACATTCCTTCATTTCAATAGGCCTACCCTAAACATTTGAAATACGTATCACTCTATCCAAACGGTAATTATGCTGTTCATGAAGAGTTACCTGCCGACTTACCCAAACTTATTCCATCAACTAAGAAGCCAGACGCGTTACGGAATTATGTCAGGGCTTATATGGCTGATGCCATGAAGAAAGGCACCTTAAGCTCGCAGCCAGAGCTGAAGAAACAACCTGAATTGGAGGAAGAAGAACAATTATCTGAAGATGATGAAGAAGTGCGAAATGCTAAACAAACTGAAGAACTTGCTGCCGATGATTTCTTTTCTACCTGATCTAGCTCAAAGTTATAAATGTTTTACAAATTTACATCACACTTGGCAATCCTCACTAGAGAATATGACATCAATGATGGATTGTTTGTCTATGACAAGGACTTTATAATGCGATCCTTCTTTGATATTCTAATGATCCTTTTATCTTTTGTATTTATTGTCTACACAATTTGCATCACTGCAACATATCAACTTTCTCATTTGTGTATCCCCTGGATAGCTGTATTCATCCTTTCAAGAATCTTGTCTTTAACTCTCTCCCGATCAGCGAGCGCCGATAGGCGAATGAGTCATGTTTTCATACGTCCAGCAGAAAGCTCCTCGCAGTCCAAGTTTTAATGTTGATGTGGCAGAAGAGTAATACTTGTCAAGTTCCTGGCGATGGGAGCTAACAGGCGAAATTGAAGTTCGTTGGGGTGCGACTCAACTTGATATCACTCGGTCCTACGGCAGTCATTGACCACTACGCGGTGAGGTACGGCCTGGTACGGCCTGGTACGAGGAACTCGCCTGAAAGGAATGATTTTAGCACGCAAGGTTATCATTTCTGTGAGTGTGAATTTTGAATCCCCAGCGAATCCAATTCCCAATGCCCATTTTTTGAAAAGTAGTCAGTCTGAAGCGCCTCCTTTTCTCCCGCTCGAGACCTCTTGAGGAGTGAGGGACTTTTTTAAATTCGGAATTTGTGGTTCTCAATAAATGCCCAGGTACAGATGATTTTGTTTATCGGGATAAAACACGGATCTCAATCCTTGCAGGAGGCTGAGTAAATGCATTCAAACCAACGGCGGTCATCAATCTCAACGCCTTGTTCAACGAGATGGACCTGCTCGAGAAAGGCAAAGTCTCCAAGAGTAAATCCTAGGAAATCAGTCAACCATGAGTAATTTGAGATGGGTTGCTAGATCACCGAAGATAACTGAGGAAAAACGTAATAGGTCTTATATATCACTTTTAATCATCGAAATTCCCAGCTCGTTGACAAGGGCCCTTTGGAGGTATAGCAATCATGTTAAATCAAGTTGTTCAACATGAAGACGATTTTCTTGCAAGATATGCTGAAATTTCTTTTATTTTCTTTTGATCGTTACAGAATATAGAGTAAGCTTATTTGTTTCTTCGTAAGTTGAGTGATCTCGCGAATCAATTGAGACTCAGAAGTGAAGTTCGAAGAAAGTGTTCTTTTTAGAGTTAACATTCTTCGATCTATATCATCAGGATGAAGGGTGATAACTGCCTCAACTGTAGAAGTCGACCTATCAGATTTTTATTCGTCAATCTATTGTTCCATTGCTTGGGATTAGGATTAACGATTAGTATAAGTCCTCAAAGAAATGGTCTATCATCTCGATCGGTGTGTTTGACTTCTTCCTATAGACACACTTTCTGCACAAAATATTTCAATCTGATGCTGATATACTTTTCATATCCGTCTTTCGACTTTCACCATCAACATATCATTTCCGTCAATCAGGATTTTCATCGTAAGAGGCTAATATCTTGTTTAGAAATACCTAAGAGTAGTTGTTGTATGTGGGAATGATAAACTAACACCTCTTTCCGTAACTAGACAGGTCGATGGGTCACGATAGGTTTCAAAAACGTTCTAAGAAGGTGTTGGGTGTCATCATGATGAAACCTTCCGAACAAAACTTGACTGCCAATGGAGTCACTGTTGTAAGTTCACGTTCCAATCGTTTCTACGAAGATCTACCAATCTTCGCATCCAACTCACAATGGCGGTGCTTACTTACGACTGCTTTGCGATTTCAGCTTGCTCCTGTATCGAGTGTTGATAAGGCTGTCCTCAAGGTACGAACATTTCCTCTTGTTAAGAGAAAAATCAGACCGGACTTTTGATTGAGATCACTTGTTTCATTCACACAGAGTCTCAACATTTCATTGCCTCCCCATGCTGTCCATCATGTGAGCTTCTTCGAGCATCTTCTCTTCTCTCAGTCTGCTTCTTTGGAATGGGAAAAGATCGTTGTCCTACGAGGGCGTGACGGCTATCGCGAGTTCAATATGTCGTAATATGATTCCGAAAACCATCCATCTATCCATCATGTCCTGCGTCTTTGTTGGAAAAAGCCTCGCATGGAAGCTCAAGTTTGGTGGTATACTGACCATTTGAACATCTCATGGCTGCAATATAGTCTCAGGGTTCTCAAGAAAGTTCTCAAGATATGGTAAGCAGATTCCTTGGAGGTATCACTTCAGTTCAAGTTTGATGCTTGTACAAAACTGACGATGGAATGCGTATCTATTAACGAACCAATTAGAGCATGGCATTCAAAAACGATTTCAACTCATCAGAAAACAAAACAAATCTTTCACAAAGTAATCACGTTAGTCATCAACTCACTACGAATTCAAACTTTAGAACATGCTGTTAACTATACTGCCGACTTTAATCAATCTGTTTATTTGCTTTCTTTTTGGTCTTCTTCGAACAACTTTTTACGCGTATGTTATTACAAATGACAAATATCAAACATATCTCAGTTTGGATTAACTGAGCCAACAAGTTATACGAATTCAAGTGATACAAGTGCAAGTGTTGAATCAGATACAGTAAGTCTGCTCTCTTCACAATATTCAATAATGTGGGATATGTTTCTAAACAAATGACAGACTTGACTAAGACTGAATTTATGTTTTGTGAATTGATTAGACCTCGGGATTATCGGTTGTACCTGAGAATTCTTTGAAAAATTCTAAACTGTCCAAAACTATGGATATTGCACCAGTGAATGCTTCAGCAGGTGAATTGTTTCCCTTTCCTATCTCATTCAAAGATGAAGAAATTAATCTGAGCTCTTTCCTCTTTCATTTGGCCGCAGATCACCTTACAAACTCTAAAAAACCAGAGACACACAATCAGAAACAAGAATTGACTAAAAATGAACCCAGTACAAATGAGAATACTGAAGCAAATAAGACTCCTACTGGAAGTATTCTAGATCAAAAACAGGTAAGGCATCCAGGCATTTTGTTTTTCCACAAAATTCCGATCCTCAACTTACATTTTTGATCTACTTTTCTTTTGGTTGAATTTACTCATTGACAAGGGAAATAATTCTAAAATCAATGATACTCAATCTCAGAGTAATGGAAATCAAACCAAACCGGTAGATGATTGGCAATACTTAGTTGAGTTTTGATCAAAGGGATCCTTTCAAATTTTGTGTGAATCTATGCTTATATCTTGATGGGTTTTTTGAATTTATAGTCATCAAGCTCTCAATTGATCTCAAATATAATTCCTACATCACTCACACTTATGGTTCCTCCAACACTCACACTTCTACTCTCTATGATTACTTTGATCTAGGAATTCTGTGACTTATTAGTTTTTTTTCTTGATCCTCAAGTTCATAAACAGTTGATCTGAGTTTGGATTTATTTATTACTAGCTACTCTCAACTCTACTTTTTCCTACATATACCCTCTCTGTACTTCTTTATCACACTCAAGCTGCAAGCATGTGATACATCTTGTATTCTTGCATCAAAATCTATAATTTTTGGTTTGTGAACCATCTTCTAGATATGTTGAATTCTTGTTGCATTCAAATTCTTATTACAGTACGTCTATCTCTTCTTGATGTATCTTGTAGCACTCCTTTAATTATAGAAATAAATATCATGTATTTTATCCTTACCAGCCACCTTTTCGAAAAAAACTTGAAATTACAAAAATCTCCTGATAGACAATAATGGAGCTGGTTCCAGATCTTAGTTCCCTAGACTGAGGTGTGCAATAAATCACTTATCATCAATTTTATCAAGTCATCCTCTTAACAAGATATCTAAATAAAATGATTGTATCAAATCATTATAGATTGTCTGTTTAATTTTGAATGCCATCACCAAGATTTATGGTGGTCAAACCTGTGCAAGAAATTTGCAAGACCGACGTGCAAGATCCGCGCAAGATCCGTGCAAGATTTCTTGCACCGATCTTGCACAAGTATGTTTTTCACAACCCCACCGTAATTACCCAAACTTCACTCATCATGCCACGTGTCTCATCCAGAAGACAAGTGATTCGAATGTTCAAGCGACTCGCCAATCTAGACTACCCTTATACCTCTCACAGTCTTGTTTTAACGCGAAAGCGAAAGGGTTTCCGCAGCTCAAGTTCAGGTTTCTCCGCCTTCTTCCAGCTACTACAGATTCCTCAACTTCAATCGGTGTTCAATCTGGAATCATATGTTTGTGTGGCTCTCTGGATGCTATTTCAACGACGACCGAAGCGTTTGCTCCAATCATCGGCGCGCCAAGCTGAACAACACCCACTGGCTTTATTCGATAATCCGGGATTATGGTCACTCGCAATTGACATGATCGAGCGAAAGCGATACTTCGAATCCAGGCGTTGCGAACCTCAAGCATGTCTAACAATGTTCAACAGATTTTGGGGATCACACGATACAACCTTTTTAACCCTTGTATGTTTGCTTATCCAGATATGAATTTTCAAGTTGTCTACAAGCTAATTGTTGGTTTCACTTGCATATCTAGGCTCGAATGAATCGGTCTAGCTTCTTAACATTACTGAACAAAATCGCATCGTCTGACTTATTCGAGAATCAATCAAACTGTCCGCAGGCCCCAATCGAGCTGCAACTGATTGTGACTCTGGCCAATCTTGGCCTTTCTGGAAATGGGGGTGGTCTGAATGTTCTCGCCCATATATTTGGCATTTCAAGTGAGTTTCAAAAATGACATGGTTGAAGCTATTTAATTAGTTACTTTCACTGACTTGATGCTTTCAGAAGGGAGCGTTGAAAATTACACATGGAGATGTGTGGTTGCGATTGTCCAATTGGAGAGAGAATATTTGTCCTGGCCAACCCCCACGGAGCGAGCAAAGATTCGACAAAATGTGGGCAAAAACGGTCCTTTCAAAGGTTGTGTAGGTTTTGTTGACGGTACCTTGATACCGCTTGCTTTTGGTCCTCCGAAGTGCAAAGAGGATTATTGGACTCGGAAGTTTTTTTATGCAGTCAACTCCATGCTTGTATGCACGCATGATCGTAGGATCACGTTTGCTCGGCATGGGTGGTGTGGCAGTGTGCATGACCAGCGAGTCATGCGTACATCTTCAGTAAGTTTGTTATTTTTTTATTTCTGGTGTATGGTATTCATTCAAAACACTTACAATGTTTGAATTTGGATGTCAAGTTGTGGTCGGACCCAAACAATTTTTTTTCAGAAGGAGAGTATCTTCTGGCGGATTCTGGGTACAGCTCCAACTCGTTCATCATTCCAGCTTTCAAAAGAGTGGGAGGTCTTCCTCTGACCCGCGAGAAGATGTTATTCAACAAACTCTTGAGTGAATTACGTGTCGCAATCGAACATTGTAATGGAATGCTGAAATCTCAATGGCAATCTCTGAAAGACCTACGATTACTCTTAAAGGACAAGAAGTGTGTAGCCCGTTTGAATGCTTGGATCTCAGCGTGTTGTATCCTGCACAACTTCCTGTTGGATCAGAATGAGGGATGTGCTTTTCATTATGATATCACTACTCCTGTGGATCCCGAAGACGAGTTCATTTTGAATGAGATCCGAGAAGACGATGATGAAGACACAAGAATGCGTGTATTCCGCCTTTTTTGTGAATCGTTGTAAACTTTTTACACTCTTTGTTTGTTTATCTGCTTAGGATGTTATTAGGTAGTAGCAATTTGAAAATATCCTTTTTCTTGTTTGCTGCTCGTTAAAGCCGCTTGTGCGTAATAAGCAAA